AGGCATAGAAGGAATACATCTCAAAATAATAAAGTCTTATATATAACAAACCCAGAGCTAACGCATACTGAATGAGGAAAGGTGAAATCTTTCTTCTAAAAGCTGGAATGAGGCAGGGATGCCCATTTTCACCACTCCTATTCACCACAGTACTGGAAATCCTAGCCAGAACAATCAGACAAGAGAAAGAAATGAAAGGCATCCAAACTGGACAAGAGCAAGTCAAATTGTGTCTTTGCTGATTATGTATCTGTAGGTTTAGAAAACCTTTAAATCAGTAGCATTTCTATACACCAATAATGATCTAGCCAAGAAAGAAATTAAGAAGGCAATCCCATTTACAATAGCTACCAAAAACCTACGAATACATTTAACTAAGGAAGTGAAAGATCTCTACAAGGAAAACTACAAAACACTAATGAAAGAAAATTAAAAAAAAACCCTATGCTTGTGGAAAGAATTAATATCATTAAAATGACCATATTGCCAAAGCAATCTACAGATTCAATGAAATCCCTATCAAAATACCAATGTCATTCATATGGGACCAAAAAAATCGCTTGAACCTGGGAGGCAGAGGTTGCAGTGAGCCAAGATCACGCCACTGCACTCCAGCCTTGGGCGATGGAGCAAGACTCCATCTCAAAAAAAAAAAAAAAAAAAAAAAAAAAAAAAAAATCCAGTGATAGGAGGAATAAATTCAATGTTTGATAGCTGAGTAGATGACTATACTTAATATATTGGACTCATGTACCCTGATTTGATCACTACACATTATACACATGTAAAAAATTTTTCATGTACTCCATAAATATGCACAAATAAAAGTATTGCAACAAGGTGAACTATATTTGCTAAACATCACTCAGTAATCACTAGAAAATAAAGGCTATCAGAAGAAATGATAGACAATCAGATGGGCCAAAGTTGTTCAGATTTTCCAAAAGGTAGAAGATAGTTTCTGAACATTATTATGTCCAAAAAGTTCTAGGTGAGGTAAACTTAGCCTTCATTACATTCTTGCAACTAAGTTGGTGAACTAGGTAACAGTACCAGGCTGATCTGAGTTCAAATCCTGACCCTGCTTCTTGCTGGCTATGTGAACTTGGCAAGTTACTAAATCTCTCTCTCTCTTTCTCTCTGCAAAAAACAAAGATAATACTACCTACTTTGCAGGGTTGTTTTGTTGGGATTAAATGAGATATATCTGTACTTAAGCAACAGTACCCAAGTGTATTAATGGGTATCAGTCTAGAGACAGGTCACTGGCAGCATATGCTCAAGGGTTATTTCTGACCCTGTCTTATTCTATTCTTTACCAATAACTCAAACGTAGAAACAGAAGTCACGATTATTAAACCTACAGAGCTAACCAAACTGAAAGAGACAGCTATTATGTTTCCTAACACGAGAAGAACTAGGAATCCAGATTACCTCAACAAATAGCAGACAGGCAATGACCTAAAAAAATGAATTGTAAAAGGATAAGGTCTTGATTTAGGTTCAGTAAAATGGCTCCAAACCTAGAATGGAGCTAGGGAGCTGATTTTAAAAGAACGTGAGTTTTCATTAAGTACAAGCCCAGTTATGAGCCAAGAACGTGATTTACTGTAGAAAAAACGCTAATACAATTTTATCTGGCATGAATAATGGTAGTGTCCATCTCAAGAGAATAATAGCTCAAGTACATTCTTCTCTGATCACTGTGTTCCACTCTGGGCACATTTTAGAAGAAAGGTTGACAAAACAGTAACATTAGGTTACTTCCAGAGGAAGGTAGTCTAAATGATTAAGCGTTTGGAATATGAAATATGCTAGGAATTGGGGGATGTTTAACTTGTAAAATAGAAAATCTGAGGAGATATGTAACCTGTATTCAAGTAAACGAATAGCTCGAGTAGCTATTACATGGAAAATTGTGTTTACACCTTCCATATAGCTTTAAACAGCAGAAATAGTAACTACGTGTAAAAGTTACATGGAACTCCAGAAAACAAAGACGTAACATAGCTGTATGACATTACGGGCAAGCTTTAGGGTAATACACCATCTATCACCAGAGTGTTCAGAGATTGATTCATTTTCAACAAAAATGTATTGAGTACCTAAGTCCCAGAAGGTACACAAAGTGCAGTTGCTAATGACTAAATAACTTATATGTTCTCTGCTTTTCACTGAGGTGAAGTGGTAGAAGCAAATAACAACATACACTCAAAGTAACCAAAAAAAAAAAAAATCTCTAAGGAGAGGAATACAGTTCTTCAAGGGTATATAACAAAGGATCCTTACTTACAATGTGGGGTCAGAATAGGCCTCCCTTGAGTAGCTAAATGATGTCTGAGTAGGAGGTAAATGGTTGTGGCAAAGAACGTTACAAAGAAAGGAAACACCACTTGCAAAGATCTTGCGGTAAAAGAAACTACAGGCTGAAGGAATTGAAAGGCTCATTTACCATATAACCTGAGGACAGAGAGTTAAGAGAGAGAGAGTGGAAAGAAGCAGGAGCAGAACCACAAAGAGTCTTGAAGGCCTCATTAAGGATTTGGTTTTCTCTAAAAAGTAATGGGATGCTGCTGAGGAGGGGTTTAAGTAGTAATGGGCATGGGAAGGAACAATCAATGTCAGTGTCCAGAATGAACCGGAGGTGGGCCATACGCTCTAAGAAGACTACTTGGGAGGCCGGGCACGGTGGCTCAGGCGTGTAATCCCAGCACTCTGGGAGGCCAAGGCAGGTGGATCACCTGAGGTCAGGAGTTTGAGACCAGTCTGGCCAACATGGTAAAACCCCATCTCTACTAAAAACACAAAAATTAGCCGGGTGTCGTGGCGGGCACCTGTAATCCCAGTTACTCAGCAGGCTGAGGTAGGAAAATGGCTTGAACCTGGGAGACGGAAGTTGCAGTGAGCCGAGATCGCGCCATTGCACTCCACGCTGGGTGACAAGAGCGAAACTCCGTCCCAAAAATAAAACCAAAAAAACAACAAAACAAAACAAAACAAAAAAACTACTTGGAAGCTTCCTGCAGTAGTCCAGACCAGAAATGATGGTAGTCTGGGAAAACGAGGTAAAAATGAAGATGTGGAAAAGTGGACAGACACGAGATTTTTAGGTTAAAATGACAGAACCCATCTGACCAATCCAGCTAGTCCAGTGGGTGATTTGGATCTAGTTTAAAGCAATCATTCTCCCAAACCAGAGTCTTTAGACCCTAATTAAACACCTTTATGGGGGGCAGGAGCAGAACTGACAAATTTTCCAAATTTTACCAAATTTTACCTCTGTATAGGACCGAGGACATGGATAGGGCAGAGCAGAGATATCAAGGGTTACCCACCCTCTCTCTCCCCCAGATTCCCAGCCTATATAACTGCGTGGATGACAGTATCATTCAGTGAGATATTCCTATCTCACTGAATAGGTACAGACAGTCCCTGACTTAAAATGGTTTCACTTAACATTTTTCAACTTTACAATAGTGCAAAGGTGACAGGCATTCAACAGAAACTGTACTTTGAGGACCTACACAACCATTCTGTTTTTCACTATCAGCACAGCAATAAATGACATGAGGTATTCAACATTTTATAATATAGGTTTATGTTAGATGATTTTGCCCTACTGTAGGCTAATGTAAGTGTTCTGGGGATGTGTAAGGAAGGTAGGCTAGGCTAAGCTATGATATTCTGTAGATGGGGTGTATTAAATGCATTTTCAACTTCTGATACTTTCAGCTTACAATGGGTTTATCAGAAGGTAACTCCATCGTTAAGTTGAGGAGCATCTACACAAGTTAGATGGGCTAAGATCCTAGGTTCGGAATTGAAAAAGCTGAGTTTCAGGGGCCTTGATTTTAAACAAGCTGTTGGACGTATTAACCTGAAACTTAAAGGGCAAGTCTGGACTGGGGGTAAAATATTGAGAATCACTGCCATATAGACAGTTGTAGCTATGGGCTTAGAAGAGATTGCCTGAGCAGAAAATTGAGAGAAGATGGCCTTTGAGGAATATCAGCAATGAATAACAAAGTAGAGGAGGATGAGTCCGCAAAAGAGAGGTCTGAGTCAAACCAGGAGCTAGGCATCCAAGAACACATGTAAAGAGTGCTTTCCATCGAGGAGGCCATGGTCAACAACGTCAAAAGCTGCTGAGACATCAAATAAGGATTGAAAAGTTCAACTAAGTTGAGGGACAGGTTTCAGTGGGATGATGGGACAGAAATCAGACTGCAGTAGGTTGAGGGGTGAGTAGGTGGTAAGCAAATGGAAGACAATAAATATAGACAACTCTATCAAATTTCCTGCTGTAAAGTGGGAAGGGAAAAGGTGACAGCTGTGGGGGTGGGGGAAGGGTTTGTTTTAAGATAAAGAAGCTTGATTATATTAAGAAGGAGCAGATGAATATACAGATAGGGTCTGAAGTATTGGTAGAAGGACTAGCCTTAAAAGGAGAGACCACGGGGAAAAGGAAGAGAAAGAAGCCAAACTAAATGACCTTTAAGATCCCTTCTGACTCTAGAATCTCATGACCTACAAGTCCCTTTAGATAGGGCTTTTGCACATATGCATAAATCTACGCAAACTTATTCAAAAATTCTGGTACAAAGAGATCAGTTAAGCACATCTTTCGCCCCCAGTGACGCAGTTAATGTCCTCAGGTTTATAACCAGTGTAATCTCTGGGCAGGACTCATCCCTTGAGAGCTTTTAGCTCAAGGCAGACTGCAATACAGCACTCAACCAGCTCTCTCTCTCCTCGCCAAATCCATCCTACCCAGCAACCCTAAAGCCTAAAGGAGGAAGTAAATTTAAAACCCTGAAACTACAGCATATCCTGCTGCATTGAAAGCGACTGTCATCCATAAAAACAAAACGTGACAGCCCAAATCCATCCTCACTCCAAGCTAAAGCAAATTCCCGCCTGACCTGACAGTTGACAGGTCCCCCAGATGGCAGGGCTCTAACACTAAAAGTCATTGGCACCCCCTCCTCTTTCCCAACGACCTTTAATTTGTGAAGAGCCAGACATGGGTTCCTGATGATCCTTCCTACACCGCTCGCCCCGAATGCAGCAGACGTGCTCCCGGCAGTTACTCCGGCGCCCCCTAATAAGCCCTCGCAAGGGGGTGCGGAAAGACCCCCAGAGCCAGTCAGAAGGGGCTTCGGCGACCGCGACCCTGCGGCTATGTGGAGGACAAGGGAAACAAGCCCCAAGGAATGGGAGAGGACGACCTGAGGCGGAGCAGACGCGGGTAACGAGGGGGTCATCTCCCCTCGAGGGGGGTGGAGTTGTTGAGGAGGGCTAATCCTCTGCCACCGCTCCCCTGCTACCCTCGAGTCCCGCTCTGGCCTCGCGCCCCATTGCTCGGATTCACTCCCACTCCCCTGGGGCCTCCTGGACCCCGGAGTGCCCGCGAGCCCGGCGCCCCTGCCTCGAGCCTGGGCTCCCAGACCGGCACTCACCCGGCCCGCCATCTTCGCCGACACGTCCGGCTAGGCGGCTGCAGCTCTGCGTTCGGCAAAGCCCGCCCCCGCCGTGCGCGCGCCCCCGCCGCCCGCCCTCGCGCAGGCGTGCAGCCGCGGTGAGGACGCGCGCGTCCCCGGAGTCCTCGCTCCACAGGGCGCGCGCGCGGGGCGGGCAGAGCGGCGGCGCCATTTTGGCTGGAGCTGCTGGGCGGCGGCAGGTGACTCTGTTTCCAGCGTGCGCGTCCGTCCGCGGCTCGCTCGAGGGCTGCTCCTGCGAGTCTCATGTCCGCTGGCCATTCGCGCCGGAATTTGTCGCAAGGGCTTTAATGCTTCGGATCACTTATCCCTTTGCCAGCAGTTGTTCGCCCTCGAATGTCCATTTTGCTCTGTGCTTCCAGACTCTTTTTTTTTTTTTTTTTTTTGGATAAACCATCACTCTGTTGCCCAGCCTGGAGTGCAGTGGCACAGTCTCGGCTTACTGCAACCTCCGCCTCCCGGGTTCACGCTATTCTCCTGCCTCAGCCTCCCAAGTAGCTGGGACCACAGGCGCCCGCCACCACGCCCGGCTAATTTTTTGTATTTTTTAGTGGAGCCGGGGTTTCACCGTGTTAGCCAGGATGGTCTCGATTTCCTGACCTCGTGATCCGCCCGCCTCGGCCTCCCAACGTGCTGGGATTACAGGCGTGAGCCACCGCGCCTGGCCTCCAGACTCTCTTAAACATGGCCTTGCGGTTGAGAAAACCCCGCGCGTTCCCTGGCTTCCCCCAGAAAATATCAGCTCCGAGGAGTTGGTTCTGAGTTCAAATTCTCCATGAATTTTCTCACTTTTCTTTGTAGGCGTACATGTTTTCCTAGTTGCTGGAATTGTCATCGTTGGCAGTTTTATTTATGTGTAGCCTGGAAAACTCAGTATTTTCTTCAGATTTGAAAGCGAATTGTGATTATTTTTATTAAATATTTGTCTTTAATAAAGGCAACTTGTATCTTCGACAACCTTTTCATTCCCCAGCGTTGTTTCATTTTAGACACTATACATGGTAGAATCTGAATAAAATGTAACCTAAATTTCAGCCTTGTTGAACCTCGATGTTTTCACCATACCATTCCTCCACTGGAATCTCAGAATATCTAACTTCAAGCACCCTGGGAGGAGACAGATTCTGCCGAATGGATTCCCTTTTGCTTTTATTTACCCCACTATCATCTCTTTTCTTCATATTTGCGCAAGACAATAGGGAATGATAGGATTTGTTCTCTTTCGTTTCTCACAGTTAATTAGAATAAATCGGGTTTTTTTCCCCCCAGCATGAGAAAAGAAGGGAAATAACTAGAAGAGCTGAGCATGCATAGTGATTTAAATTTGAGAACTAATAAAATCAGACAGTGACCTGAAGATGAACTAGGGACAGAAGAAAAAGTTAACGCCAGCCAGGCGGGGTGGCTCATGCCTGTAATCCAAGCACTTTGGGAGGCCAAGGCAGGCGGATCACCTAAGGTCAGGAGTTCCAGACCAGCCTAGCCAATATGGTGAAACCCCATCTCTACTAAAAATACAGAAATTAGCCAGGTGTGGTGGCGGGTGCCTGTAATCCCAGCTACTTAGGAGGCTGAGGTGGGAGAATCGCTTGAACCTGGGAGGCGGAGGTTGCAGTAAGCCGAGACTGTGCCACTGCACTCCAGGCTGGGCAACAGAGCGAGACCCTGTGTCAAAAAAAAAAAAAAAAAAATTCACGTCAATTTCATGAAGTCTCACACTGAACCTGAGGACCAAGTTGCTTCCTTGACCAAATCAGATGTTAGCTAAATCATGGGTGGGTCAGAGAGGTTATCAGGAAATACAGGAAACTAGTTGAGTTCTGATCTACTAACTTGCAGAAGTTACTAACGTACAAAAACAAATATTAGAATGGCTTGGGAAGTCCAGAGGGTTAGGTTCTCTTTGTCCCTATCTGCCCGTCACCTGTGTACCTTCATATCCCTGAGCCCAGTTTCCTTATTTGTTTTTTTGTTTGTTTGTTTTTGAGATGCAATCTCACTCTGTCACCCAGGCTGGAGTGCAATGGCGTGAGCTCAGCTCACTGCAAACTCCACCTCCCAGGTTCCAGTGATTCTCCTGTCTTAGCCTCCCAAGTCGCTGGTATGACAGATGCCCACCACCACGCCCAGCTAATTTTTGTATTTTTAGTAGAGACAGGGTTTTGCCATGTTGCCCAGGCTGGTCTCGAACTCTTGACCTCAGGTGATCCACCTGCCTTGTCCTCCCAAACTGCTGGGATTACAGAGGTGAGCCATCACGCCTGGCCTAGTTTCCATCCTTTTTTTTTTTTCTTTTTCTTTTGGCACCTTCAATTTGAACCTAGAAATCAAAGAGATTTTAATAAATAATTACCAGATCGAGAAAATGACATTGGCTCTCGGTCCAATAATCTGACATTATTTTCAAGGTTGGAAAATAATGCAAACGTGTTTCTCCATATCACTGGTTAATTTGTCTTGTTTTACTAGGTAAGCTAGACTGCAAGTACAAATGTCTTCAATTTCTTCAACAAGGAGGAATATTTATCATCTTGGAAGGATATGCCTGCTGGAAAATTTCCAGTGTATCAGCTAACGTGCGTATCTACCCATTATAAGAGGCCCTCTGTGCCCTCTCAAAGCCCTCTGTGCCTTCTCACAAGTATTAAAAATTAAATATAATCATTTGCACAGCCCTGCAGGGCCTGCCAAATAAATTGCAGGCAAACATAGCTCCTGTCCTTAAGGTCCTTAGCATCCAGCAGGAGGGGAAGGATTGTAAGACATTGCTCCAGATACTCCACATGTCTCTGCATCCTGTTTGTGCCTTGCTCTGACATTCAAGGTCATCTTAGAAATAGAGGGGTGCTGATTCTGCATCACCCTCTGAGTAATCCTTGCAGCGATAGTCGATAAGCAACACATGTTTTTGCTGCCCCAGATTCACTCTGCCCTTTTCTGGTAACAGCTCTTCCAGTTCATGTGGCCTTGGAAGGATTGTCAGACCAGGAACCCTGCCTCCCCCTGACCCAGGAGTGAGTACAGAACCCAAGTTCAATCAATCAGATGCTCTCTCTCCCCTAAGTAATTGTAATCTTGAGTACCCTGAGGAATAATGACAGAAATAGCTAGAGCTCATTTATTGCAATGATGACACCCTGAAGAGACCATTTGCTAGTTTTCTGGATCTCTAGAGTTCACCTGCTTTCTGTCGTCTGCAAAATCTGACTGTCCGCCTTTGTCTTGATTTCTGTGAGTTAGTCACTTTCTCTTCCTAAAAAAATACCTCCCTTAGCTCTTCATCGATCCCTGAAATTCTTTTAATATGCTTTTCTTTTACAGTGAGAAAGTTAGTAAGACGGTTAACAGAATGATTAATTTAAATTCTAAAGTGTAATGACTAACATCATTTTTTAAGGAAGGAAAGGCTTTGAGTGGGAGGTAGGAGGTGAGACTAGGGATAGGGTCAGAAAGGAAAGGTACCTCAAAGGTCGGGGGAGAAGATGAAGACATCATAAAATGAAAATAGCAGGACCCAGAATGAAAAAGAGTGGGGCATAGGGGCAAGGGCAGGGTTTGACCAAAATCAGTTAGCCCTTGTGATCCAGTGTGAAGGTTAATTTTGTATCAACTTGGCTTGGCCATGTTGCCCAGATACTTGATCAAATATTATTCTGGATGTTTCTGTGAGGGTGTTTTTGGATGAGATTTACATTTAAATCTCTAGACTCTGAGTAAAGAACGTTGCCCTCCATAAGGTAGGTGGGTCTCATCCAATCACTTGAAAGCCTGAATAGACAAAAAGCCAAACTCATCCAGAACAAGAAGGAATTCTCTAGCAGGTTACCTGTGAACTAGAACTGTAACTCTTCCCTGGGCCTCCAGCATGCCAGCTTCTCCCATCAGATTTTGGGTTCCCCAAGTCTCCACGATCACACACGAGTCAATTCCTCGAACTAAATTTCTTCCTATATGTATATACATTCTGTTAGTTCTGTTTCTCTGGAGAACCCTGATGAATATGGTCAGTTTCCTGTCAATTACAGGGATGAGATTCCTGTCTTTTACAAAGTGACCCTTAATATCACCTGTTGCTCCCTGATAGGTAACCAACATCTATAGGTGGAGGCCTGATTCAAAGACTTGAAAACAGTGCACTGATATAATTTTATGTTCAAATTATATCCCATTAAACATCACTTAATATGTGCTCCATCAGAATGGGCTGAATAACATTTTGGTTATATAGATGTTTGTTTGTAATGGTTGTGGTAACAGAATTTAACTGGGGGAAAAATAAATATCTTCTGTGATTTGTGGAGTGAGGGCAATATGAAACATAAAAGTGAACAGATTCACTGTAATCCACTTTATTTAACAAAGCAATCTATTTGGTGTTTTCATATTAACCAAAGGAAAACTACCTTTAGTCTGTGGAAACTGTAGGGTTAAACAAGTGGCGCTGGGTACAGAGTTTTTAGTCACTGCAGAGCTGTTTCAAAGGTCTTCCAGCAGGATTGTATGTAGGTGTTTCAGGGAACAGACCTGTTTGGTGAATTCACCACTGCATTGTAATTGTCAGAAGGCATCCTGCAGAGAGTGTGTGTGTGTGTGTGTGTGTGTGTGTGTGTGTGTCAGAGAGAGAGAGACAGAGAGAGATGAAGACCTGAACTTCCCCTCTTGCAGAAGATGTCACTGTGAAGCACACAAAGGCGGTCTTCAGAGCCCCTTTTATTCCCTTCCTGCTGCACCCCCTCCCCTCTTTCTCAAGTTCTTTCAGTATTAGTAACCTAATGTATTACCCTTCCCAGGAC